GCGTCTCATGAACATTGTGAATAAAGCACCAACCGGCACCCCACACACACACACGCTTCGAGTTGTGTATAGCGAAGATGACAAAACATACATACAACATAGGCACTACCTTACCCTTCCCGAACCACATAAACAAACAAACTACGGGCTGCGCACCCGTGTCCTCACGGTAAGTCAATAAGAGTTGGACCCCACAGAAAAAAGGATGGAAAAACCGTCCGACCAAAATAAACGGGCAAGGAATTTTGGAAAGCTTAGAGTTAGCACAAAATTGCGGCGAGGAATCCTCCCATGAGACATTTCCCGGCTGCAAACTATGTGAAAACATAAAATTACGTTTTTTCAAGCTGCAATCTTCGGTCTGTGGGGTCCAGGAAAACGGTTTGTGGGAGAAACTTCACCTTTCCGTGGACATCTGCCGCAGGCTATGGGAGCCTGGAAACAGTTTTGCGACAAAGTTTTTCATTTCCGCTGTCCTGTGGGGTCCAACTCTAATTGTGTTTGAATTACGGTTAGATCCCACTGACCCCTATTGTTCATTTCTGACCGTTGATCTTCATAATTGAGGGTGAAAAATGAATAATCCAGGGTAGTGGGATCTGATCCTTACATAAACAAGAGGAGACCGGGAATCCCTCCACATCTTAATCCGAGGACTGGGGCCGATCCCCAGATTAGCAGGGTCCAGTGTTCGTTGCTTATCCGTTTGCATTCCATTCCAAAACAACCATTTAAATTATCCGTCGTTTTACACACTCCCTCAGGGAATACTCGAGCTGGGACTTTCTCACTTATTTATGGACGTGTTTGCGGTCAGACGCATCCAGGGCTGATCTGAGTTGCCGTGAGATGCATTTTGGGAAGTGCTAGGGAAGTGCTAGTTCACAGCCCGTCAGGGATGCGTTTTATGCCCCTGAGAACATTTTTCGTCGTCGTTCGTTATACGGTCGTTGGAAGGCTGGAAAAACAAGGCATGAGAGTTTAGGGGGTGGTGGCATCCTATTTGAAACTGCAGGACCGGTAGCTGCCCATGGGACCGCACGGGTTTTGGTCCAGGACCGCGTAGGACAGGTAGCTGCGCGCAGGAGGCCGAGGAAGCCGAAGTCCTTTTTCGAAATTGAAAAGGTGCGGGTCCACTTTTCTCGAATAGCAGAGTTCCTCGAATATGAAAAGTACATGTTGTATTACAATACAACGTGTACCCTTTCTATTCGGATTTCGAAAAGAAAAAACTTTTTTATTCCGATAAAATTACTTCTTATTTTTGTTGGAGGTCAGTGCGTGCCCTTGTGCTCCCCGCCACTTACATGCTGCATGCTGTAGGTCTCTCTCTCTCTCTCTCCCTCTCTCTCTCTCACACACACACACACACACACACACACGCACACACATACACACACACACACACACACACACACACACACACACACACACATAAACATGCACATACGCTCCTGTTCGCAGCCCGTCAGGGTTGCGTTTTCCCCCCTGATACATTTCAACGTCAATCAAATTTCAACGTCGATGGTCGTCGGGAGGGTGGGCATTTTGAGGTTTGGGGGTCTTGCACCGGTAGCTGCGCGTAGGAGGCCGAGGAGGCCGCAATCCTTTTTCGAAATTGCAACGGTGCGGATCCACTATTCTCGAATAGCAGAGTTCCTCGATTAGAAAACGTATACGTTGTATTCAAATACAACTTGTACACACACATACATGCTCTCTCTCTCTCTCTCTCTCTCTCTCTCTCTCTCTCTCTCTCTCTCTCTCTCTCTCNCTCTCTCTCTCTCTCTCTCTCTCTCTCTCTCTCACACACACACACACACACACACACACACACACGCACATACATTCTCCTGTCTATTGATAGGGAGCGCCACCTGCTGGAAACTGGGTCCAGCGTCCCATGAACATCGTGAATAAAGCACCAACCGGCACCCCCCCCCCACACACTCTTCGAGTTATTCGCAGTCCGTCAGGGATGCGTTTTATGCCCCTGAGACATTGAGACATTGAACATTTTTCGTCGTCGTCACCAAAAGGTGCGGTAGTTGGAAGGGTGGTGTATTTGCTAGGGGTCCAATTCGTGGAAAATAGGCAGTTTAAGGAAGTGCATGACCGGTAGCTGCCCGTGGCATTAGGGCCTTGAAATTTCGAATATGAAACGGCGTGGACGCAGACCCTGTGGTGAGTTAAGGCGGGTTTTTAGGGGGGGCGCCGACTGGAAGGCGCAGGCGGGTCCAATCTTGCAATTTTCGAGCGCAAATTTTGGCGATTTTTCGTACGCAGAATAATTCGAGAAAAGACCTGAAAATTTGACATCGGGTAGGCCAGGTCGTAATCTTTCCAGGAAAAATATCAACAAAATCAAATAAAATCGTTTAGACCATGAAATAATTGCCGCGCCAATTCGTCACGTTTTCCATTTTTGGCACACGACAACTTGTGGGCCAACGAGAAAAATACCCCTATTTCAAAGCTTTTTCACGCTCAGAAGAACTCGTAAACAAGTCTGAAAATTTGAGGGTCCGTAGATTTGGTCATGATCTTTTCAGGAAAAATGTTTTAAAAAATAAAAAAAATTGTCTCAACCAGGAAATAGCTTATAGCGCCAATTCATCCCATTTTCCATATTCACCACTCTGCCGGTTCTCCACTCTGTGCTACTGGTAGCACTCCCCCGAATTTCCAACGTCAGGTAGAGTAGTGGTTTGAATTCGAAGCCTGTCGTGGTCGAAATCGAAACGGGCCAAAAGCAGCGGCGGCCGCTCCCGTTCCCTTTGCGTTCACAAAGTGATAGTCTCCCTGTGTGCGCAAGGAGCCTGGTGCCTTATTGATCGAGGCGTTTTGACAAAGTGGCGCCGCGCCTGATTTCTCTCTCTCTCTCTCTCTCTCACACACACACACACTCACACACACACACACACACACACAACAACATGAACAAACAAACCACGGGCTGTGCACCCGTGCCCTCACGGTAAGTCAATGTATAGCGACCATGACAAAACATACATACCGCATAATCACTACCTTACCCTTCCGGAACCGCATAAACAAACGAACTACGGGCTGGGTGCATCTGACCGCAATTAGGCCCAGAGCTCAGTTGGAAAAGTCCTCCCGTAGCGCATATGCCATCAGATCACCCGCCATTTTTATTTTTTTTTTAAAATTTTTAACGTCACCCGCCATTTTGCACACCCGCCCTCTTACACCCTCGGCGGTCAATTTGTGGAATTGGCCTCGCTCCACTACTCTCCAGATGCACAAAAAACAAAAAATATGGCCATGAATCTTTCCATGTTGTAGCGGAGTATACAGTATCATTTTGCCCATTTGGAGACTACCGGTAGTGGAGCGAAGCCCAATAACAATGACAAACGCCCTCAAGGCGACGATACGCCGGGCTTTTTCCAGATTTGGTGACCGCATTTGTCCACCCTCTAGGTGAAGATACGCCGGCCGTTTTCCAGCCAGACAGATTTGGTGAGTAGTAGTTGGTGCAGGGAGTTCCTTCGTGCGTGTCGAGGAGTATGGGAAGTGCAACTGCGCGCCAATTCGCGTTGTGCTTCCACGCTGGCGGTCGCTCGATCGACCGGTCGGTCGGTCGGTCGGTGAGCGAAAGCCAAGGCCACGGCTTGATTCCGAGACGGCGGGAGGGGGGGGATATGTCGCATTCTCACATCAAAGCACAACGAAGCGCTTTGTGATTTGGTCCGTTGGATGCAGTGGTTGGGTAGCGATGCAGCAGGGGTGGGTGGGATAGCGCCCGATCCCACCCGCTCGATCGATGGGAACCCGATTGTCAGAAGGAGAAGAGCGAGTTACGCAAGCAAGTGACACACATCGTGCGATTGATGATCTGGCTGCAGACGGGAATGCATCAAGGCAGGGCGTAAGCGTGGGGACCGTCGGTTTGACGAGCCACGTGATCGCCTGCTAGATTGACTTATGTATAAGTTTATTGATTGGCTGATTGGTTGATTGATTGGTTAATCGGTTGATTGATTGACTAATTAGTTGATCTGTCAGTGAACTGCGATATATCTAGCTCTCGGGCGGTACAAGAAATTGATTGAAGAAGGTAATCTTTGATCAAAGGTCTTGTCTTGTCGTTGATAGGGCAGCGGACGAAAGACATGGTTTGGATTGGGGTTTCCTGGAACCTCAGAGGATCCAGCGACACGTGGCAGGAATGGATGCAGGGGAAGGTAAAAAGGGAGCGAGCGTCATTATGTGCAGGCGGAGGGTGACGTGGCGGCTCGAGAGTAACGCTGACTATGACAAAGACTATTATCGTCTTGACACGTGGCGCGACGTCCTTACCCGCACGTGTTCAGTGGAGATCGAGTGTACATATTCGGGATGGGCTGTTGACCGTACCACGTGTCCTATCAGTATCCCCTCCTCATTTGACACGTTGATTGACGATTAAATATCCAATTCGCATGAGACGAGTCAGTCGAACCATCTGTCGGAATTGCGCAAGCCCTAGTTATAGCGCGCGATCCTCGACTGACGTGGCGCTTTTCAGGTGATGGTGGATGTGCTAAATCGGACGGACAACATGGATTAAAAGAGAGAGAGAGAGAGAGAGAGAGAGAGAGAGAGAGAGAGAGAGAGAGAGAGAGAGAGAGAGAGAGAGAGAGAGAGAGAGTTGGGAGAGAAACCGTGTCAATCAAACGTATACTGGTGTCGGACATCCAGCGTCACAAATTTGGCGGGAACGTATACTGGTGTCGGACATCCAGCGNGAACGTATACTGGTGTCGGACATCCAGCGGCAGAGAGCTGGGAGAGAAACCGTGTCAATCAAACGTATACTGGTGTCGGACATCCAGCGTCACAAATTTGGCGGGAACGTATACCGGTGTCGGACATTCAGCGTCACAAATTTGGCGGGAACGTATACTGGTGTCGGACATCCAGCGTCACAGATTTGGCGGGAACGTATACTGGTGTCGGACATCCAGCGTCACAGATTTGCCGGGAACGTATACTGGTGTCGGACATCCAGCGTCACAGATTTGGCGGGAAAGCTCTGCACAGTGTACGTAAGGGACATCATGTCGGTAACACGAAATGCTGACGCGCGTTCGAATCCGCAATCCACATCCGGATTTACTAGTATGACTTGCGCGCGTTTTGTGCTGTGAAGAAGCCGTGTACTACCAAATTAGTAATATCAAGGTCAAGATCGACATCCCGATATCGAGTCAGACCACACAACTCCTTGGCTGACAAACACCTGGAGCTTCACAGAATCTGGGTCTTGCCTTTACCGAGTGGGCCGTGTGTGTGTGTGTGTGGGTGGGTGGGTGGGTGAGCGAGCGAGCGAGCGAGCGAGCGAGCGAGAGAGAGAGAGAGAGAGAGAGAGAGAGAGAATTACACACGTAAACACAGGCAGAGGGAGAGATATGACGGCAGGTGGAGGAGGGATAAAAAGAAGACGAGGAGGAGGAGGAGGAGGAGGGGAGAATAGATGTGATGAGATTGCAGCAGGGGTTTGGTCTTTGAGAGGTAAGGGTACGGCAGATTGCCCGGTGGAACTCTGTGATAGCCGCAGTCCTAGTCCTCCCCCTTTAGGCAAGCCGAGTCGGCGGCGAAAGGCTACTGCTTCGAGAGAGTCGTCCCCTCCATCGCTAGACGATGACCGCGAGTTTTGCACCATGGAACGACGGGCCACTCGGGCATCCTCTCGCACGCACATGTCCAAATACCCTGCACGGATCGATACGAAGGCAGCGGCAGCGGGGGCGGCGGCGGCGGCCCCGCTTGTGGTTATCTCTGGGGAGGACACGCCCTCGGGGGGGATCAGTCCAGTCTCCTCCGCGGAGTGCGGCGGAGGCGGGCGCCGGCGGCGGTCAGGTAGCAGCAGCAATAGGCGGGGGGGGGAACCTCCGCCTGCGGTCGCGGCGGTGGCTGACGTGGCAAAGTTTGCGGACGTGTCCAAGGCCTCCTCTTCCAGCAGAGAAAGACGCGTAGAGCCGTTGTCGGGATCCGGATTGAACCGGTCTTCGGTCAGCGCGTTGACGTCAGCGGACTCGGGCGCGTCGGCGGCGATGAAGACGGCGGGCGGGGGGAAGGCGACGACGAGGGAGGGAGGAGCAGCAGGAGGAGGAGGAGGAGGGAGAGGGAGGGGGCGCGGGAGGGGAAGGAGGAGGGGGAGGGGAGGGGGCGCAGAAGACGTCTCGTCGCGCTCGCGATCTGTCTCGACCTGCGATGACGAGTCGCGGGATCCCGGTAGCAGCGATCTCGACGACGCGGGAGGAGGCGGGGGGGAGGTGGTGCTCCGCGAGGCCACCGCCCGACTGCCAACCGCGTCCTCCTCAGGGCAGTATTCGAGAAAGCGGGGAGGAATGATGATGGGAGGAAGAGGAGGAGAGGGAGAGGGAGGGAACAAAGGAGAATGCACCTCCGATCAAGCCGTTGATGAGAAGAAGCGCTCTGGTTCATCAGGGATATCGGACATGGGGGAAAGGACGAGAGGAGGAGGAGGAGAGAGGAGTGGGTGTGCGGGGAAGGGCCGGGTAAAACAAAGGGAAAGGGGGGTTCCATCGGGCGATGGGGAGACGAAGAAGAGCATCACCATCGGACGAGTTGGGGTATCCAGCTCGACCATGTTGGCTATGGCGGCGGCGAAAACGAAGACGACGAATAGCGGGCGGAGTTGTAAGATGGAAGACAGTGATGATGACATGGAGGCCGCGTCGGTTCCCCTTCCTCCCATTCCACCGGTCAAAGATTCGGTGCAGACTCGATCGCAGGAGGTTGGGACTGCAGGAGCAGGAGTAGAGGGAGGAGGAGGGGGTTCGCTGACGTGTCGCTTCGACGGTCATCAAGCCGTGACGTCGAGTAATCAGATCGATGCGGACGGTTATCGGACGGTGAGCGGGAGAAGACCTCTCTCCTTCTCGGCATCGAATCGCGATGGGGAGAAGGCGGGGAAAGCAAGTGATGGTGTTCAAGAGGAGGGAGAGAAGGCGATGATGGGTGGAGTGTGTGGGGGCGGGCTCAGGTCGGAGAAAAGTGATGACAATAATATTCGCTGCCGGGGGATAATTGGGAGCGAGGTGGAGAAGGTATGGGAGAAGGGTGAGGAAGACGATGGAGACGCAGAGGCGGATGATGATTATGGCGATGGTGAGAAGGTGATGGGGTCGGGATCGCGATGGGAGAGGAGGGGTGGGGGAATGCAAAAGGGAAGAGGGGGAACGTTGTCGGGGTCGGAGTCGGAGAGGAGGGGTGATGACGTGGATTCGAAAGGTCGTCATCGCTTGATCGGTGGTAATGATGAAGGGAAAGTTCCTGGAACAAGCACTGAAAGCGACGGCAAGATTGGTTCGACGACAAGAAAGTGGAGGGAGACGCAGGAGAAGGAGGAGAAGAAAGAAGAGGAGGAGGAGGAGGAGGAGGAGGAGGGGTTATTCCAGCCATTGTTTGAGTACGAGGGAATTGTGGGTATTGCCGAGGGAAGGAGCGGCAGAAAAAAATGGCCAGGGGGGGTGCGGATGGGTGATGCAGGCGACGATAGCGATAGCGATAGTGATGATGATGATGATGGGGGGGGGGTGATAGAGGATCTGACGAGAGCGTGCAGGCAAATAGGCCATGGAAGGACGAGAGGTGGATGGGGGGGATGGGGGGGAGTAAAAGGGGAGAGGGAGAGGGAGAGACCTTTTTCGGCGACGGAAGCAAGAACTAATTATTCTCAATGCGGCGGGCGAAAAGGTGACCGGCAGGAGGAAGACGCGGGGAGACGTAGTCAGCCCAACCTGGCAGCCACGAGATCCGCGTCAAAGGGGGGTGCCACCTTGGATTGGCTACCCCCACCCCCGTCGGTCATTGCCCCCGCTCTACCCATGGACCCGACTAATCTGCAAATAGTGATGGAACTGAGAAAGCGGAAAGACGCATTAGCGGCATTGTCAAGAGAGACATCGGCGGCCGCAATCAACCAATTGGAAGCCGATGTAGAGAGAGCCTATGCTAACAAAGAGGGAGGCGGAGGAGGAGGGATGGGGTTAGGGATTGGAAGAGGAAGTGTAGAGGGGACCATCATGGTTCAACGAGAGGGAGTATTAGGGTTGGGGGGGGGGGGGGGGGGGGGGGGGGGGGGGGGGGGGGAGGAATCGAGGAATCTGTGTAAGGGAGGGGTATTAGGGTTTGCTGTTGGCGGCGGGGCCGCGGAAAGAGGAGGAGGAGGAGGAGGAGGAGGGGAGGGAGAGTTGAAGAATGTGGCAATTGCTGGTGATGATTATGAAGGGGAGAATGCAGGAGAGAGGAAGAAGAAGGAGGAGGGAGAAAAGGTGGTCATCAACTTCAAATCGGAAACAGAGGCGGCCATAGCCATTAGGCTGGGCAAGGAGGATGCGTTTGAGAAGGCCTTTCGGTTTTACTCCAAGAAGATGGGAAAAGGGATGTCATCACTTGTCTTTCGGTTCGATGGGGAGGTGGTTCTTCCTAATAGCACCCCAGGCTCTCTCGACCTCGAAGACGATGACATGATAGAAGTCAGCATCAAAGGTTGAGGGAAGATCGTGCGAAATCTCAATCGAAGTCTTAGTGTTTTTTTTTTTTTCTGGTTTGAAAAGAGATCGTCCTTTCGCTTTTTTTTTTTTTTTCCCCCTTTTTGCAATATGAAAAGGGAAAATTTTACGAGTTTTGCCAACGACGACTACAGTGATTGTTTATTACAACGATTTGGCACTCTCAAGTGCTTTTTTTTTTTTCCCCCTCTCCTCCTCCCCCCGATTGTTTATTACAACGATTTGGCACTCTCAAGTGCTTTTTTTTTTTTCCCCCTCTCCTCCTCCCCCCCCCCCCCC